CATTAACTTTAAAATGCTAATTTTTATCTTGCAATGACTTTTTCATATGACCATGGTTGTACTAAGCATAAATTTCTTATTGAAGCTATAACTATAGTTTATTTGGTTTAAATCTAAACTAATTATTTGAATCCGAATTAGGAGTACTTTAAATATGAGAAATTGTATCAATGGCATCGAACCGTACGTCAATTTGATGAGTCTAGACAGATATTATGAAGCAGCTTAGCTCTTCTAAATATGCTTTCATGCGGATATCCAATGGAACATGAGTCCAGACAGTGCTGTAAGCTGCCGAGGCAGAAAGCTGTGAGCTTGCAAATCTAATTTCAACTTGAGTTGGTGCATAGTGCATTACTGTTGTTATTTGAAGAGGAATGCTAATGATGTAAATAATATACATAGAGAGAGGGATATGCAGGGAGAGGTTGAATCAAGTGAAAATAGGCATTGGAGGATGGAAAGTAAAAGGTCACATGGACTTGAACCAAGTTCCTGAAAAGTTTAAGTTGGACTCTTGCAAATGCCGAGGAAGATAAGTGGGACCCTTTTGTTGGTCAAGAAAATGGTCCCAGATTTTATCACCAACATCTGGCCTCAAATATTTGTGTACACCCCCGCAGGTACCTAAAAATTAATTAACCTGTTTACAAAATTACAAAACCACCATACTCTGTTTTAATAATTTCTTCTTCTTCTTCTTCTTCTTCTTCTTCTTCTTCCCAGCTGACAAGAACATGCACCAGGCAGAGACCCAGTTCGTTGGTGTTGTTTCTCAATACAATATTGATTGTAAATATAAAATCTTTTTGAGGAAAACACTTCTGAGTTCTGCTAAATGTAATGTTTTTGATATAAGTCTTTTAAGTAAAAGTTCATAAATTTTAATGATTAATGGCATACAATTTGACTCAAAATCAAACCCTTATAGCTAATGATGAAAATACCCAAAATCCATTCATACCGCTGCTAATGCTGTTTGGAGTAAAACCCAAAAGATTAAGAAGCTGCATATATTATAATAATGTATGTAGCAAATTGAGCATGCATGTGTTCAGGCAACCCTTACATTCCATCAGTCTATGCTATAAGTAAGCAGTGAATATGAAGATGTTCTCTATGGTAGAATCTTGAGAAGAGAATGAACACAACACCATGGATTGAGAGGAGAAGAAAAGGATTGCAATTTGCAAGCCAGGAATTTGATAAGAACATCTTCTTCATCGGCCATTGGGTTCACCAAGCCTGGCTCTGCAACCCATTTGCTCAAGAAACTTGGTGAGTCGCAAGTGCTTTGCACCCCATTGTTCAGCCAATTTCTGTTCTTTAGCCTCTGCATCTCTCCTCAGACCTACTAACTGTTCTCTGTATTCTGCTTCAATTCTTTCCAGAGCAGCATTTTGCTCTTCCCTAAGAGCCTTCATCTTTGATTCTATTTCTTCCATTTTCTCTTTCCTCCTGCAAGTCTTCTCAGATTCAAGCTGCAGTTCTACCCTTCTTAATCTCCATGCTGCTTCCTTCTTATGAGCTGCCCAAGCACGATGCCCTTCTTCCAACTCCCTGCAACACTCCAACAGCTCGGTTATCAGTAGATTTTCACCACAGGGAGGAATTGGTCCATGAGGAGGCATATTACCCAGAGCAAGAGGGGCATTTTCTGGCCCTCTTTCTGGCTGAAGCCATGGAATTTGAGGAGTTGCAGCAGCCACATTTGAGGGTGAAAGACTTAGAGTTACAGATGGTGATGGTGGTCTCACAGTAGGGGTTCCATTAGAAGTAGAAAGCCAAGGAGGAAGAAGAGTTGATGCAGGGTTAGGTGGGTCAGTATGAAGAAAACCCCCATTTGAAGAAGCCATTACAAAAGTTGAACCAGGCCTTTCCTTCACTAATTTCTCTGCAAAACTCTCTAGTATTCTATCGTACTTTCCCTCTTCTATTGGATCCACAGTCTTGTTATTCTCCTTTTGTTCTCTTTGCTGTTTCTCCTTAAAAACTTCCCACCACTTCCCTAATCTCTTAGCAGTACGACCAGGAACTTCAGCTGCAATCTTCTTCCACTTATTACCGTGCTTGGCTTGAAGACGAATCACAAGACGTTGTTCTTCTTCAGTGAGAGATCCCTTCTTGATTCCAGGTTTGAGATAGTTCTTCCACCTTTCTAAGCAGGATTTAGCGTCCCTGTTTAGGGTTGTGTTCATGCGCTGTGAGACAAGATGCCACTCCCTTGGACCATATTGTTTCACATACGCACGTAAAAGAGCATCTTCTTCAGCTCTCCACCGCTGCCTCTCCTTCATTTCCAGTTGCAAACATCACTACCCATTTCCTCAAAACCCTTCAGAAATCATGGAATGCAAGAGATAGTCACAAATCAAATCATTTAGCTGAAAAGTAGTAACAGAGGAAGAAAAGAAAAGGCAGGTTTACCGTCTCCGGTTACTTTTTCTCACCAGCCAAACATAATGCTTACTAAATCATTGGCATTGCATCTCCAGACTCGCTTGTGTGTAACAGAGAGAAAAAAACTAACAAATCCCAAGGGAGGAGAAACTGAGAAAGAGCAAACATATGTCCATATATATATGAACAGAAGTTGCAGAACGAAAGAGGTAAAACAATCCGAAGAAGGAGAGGGTTAAAAAAATTAGTATCGAATTAAGAAGGAGAGGTATTTAGAGAGGAAGGGAGAGAGATCTGACAATGGAGCGTGAAAGAAGGGCACGCGAATAGGGATGTAAAGAGGCAAAGGAAAACCAAAAAAAAAAATTGCAGACAGTCCTCAATGGAATGAGGTGACGTCACCTTCTGGATCGACCCCTTATCTCATATCACCTCCTTCCTCCTCCTTCACTCACTTCCACTCACTACTCCCACACATACATACACCATATATATGTATTGTATACATATATAGTTACAGAGAGAGAAGAAGAGAGGTGCACTAATGTTGCGCTGCAGTAAGAGAAGCGCAAGCTCGATTTCAGCGCTTAAAATGCGCCATCTCCTGTTTTATCCCCTAACAAACTAATGATTTAAAAATTAATTTAATTATCATAACTCGCTAATTAATTAATATTAATTTATCATTATATATTAATTATTATTTTAAAAAGACAAAAGGGAAAAAGAGACAAAATCTGAGCCGTTGATGGGACTATTCATCTCATCCTCATTATTAAAACAATTAATTTGTAGTAATTAAGGTTAAAAAAAGACACGATTAAATTATTGAAGAAAAATAATGAGAGGTTGGTTGTTCAAGGCCGCCGCCGTCAGCTTTGGAATTAATTAATTAATTACTTAATCAATTGATTAATTGATAATATAAAGTTTATTAAAAAAAAAAAAAGAATCCGGCGCACGTTAGCGAAGGATGGTGGTGAAGGAATGATTAGAGGTGCCACGTGGCAAGGAGTAGTGATTGAGAGGGGACTGTAGTCCGGGTTTCGCGGCACAAGGAGACGAGTGTGATGGAGACGGGACGTTCTGCTCCGGTGACAGACATGTCAGTGATGCGTTACCTCCGTTTCTGCCTTTCCTCTCTCTCTCGCAGTACAACCCCTGTCTTTTCTTTTTGTTAATTTTCTTTTTTTATTTACAGTTTAAAAAAAAAAAAAAAAAGGCATCATAATATTTTATTTTTATTTATTTACCACAAGTAAAAAATTGTTCTGGTAAAATTACGTTATGTAGGGTCTTAGTTGATAAGTAGACAGATGAAATTTTCTCCTATGTTTTCCCATAATAGTCTTTCTACCATTACCTGAGTAAGGATATAATTCTTCGAAGTTATTGGTAGAATTAATGCCCTTTAGACCCTAATACAAGTCAATGCCATGTTTTGCAAGTGATTGGAACACAAACTGGGGCTTGTATCCAAGCATTCTTAAATTTAAATGGTTGGAAAAAAATTGAGTCATTTGTATTGATTAGAAAAATAAATAAATAGTTGTTAGAAAATATAGCTATAGAGTGCCTACTTGTTATGTTAAAGCATAAAAGTTCTCTTGAAGTGTTGCTATCTAGTTTAGTTTTAATGTTTGCGAGACCAATGTGTTTCTTTAATCAAATGTGAGGATTTTCTATATATTGTAAGTTTAGAAGATCTAAATTTTATGTTACTTTTTTGGAAGGAAATTTTGGACGATGTATAGGGATTTGTTTACTAGCTCTTTTGTAGGAAGACCAAACGTTGATTAAATGAGATGCTCTTTTTGGGCTATAGGCGGTATGCAATGATAGACTATCTATGGGCTAAGTTTGGAAGGTGGATCTAGTGCTTAGAGATTAGGTGATAAAAGTTTATGGATGAGAACGCGATGCAAAGCTATATGGGGAAGGGGGGATAACAATTGGGGTCAAGACACGATACTGAGAACATAGGGGGATTATGGGTACTATGGGTAAGGTGAGCGACTTGAGCATGTGTTGTTAGAAAAGGTTAAGGTGTAATGAAGAAAGAGTCTAAGGAAAAGTGTTATGGTTAAATAATGTGCGAGGGGAATGAGGTAACTCTAGGTTGTGATTCAATATGAATAATAGGGGAACTCAGGGGTATGAGTGAAGAAGGTATAATAGGCCAAGATGGCTTATCTTGGTGAAAGGAGTCAGTATGACGTGGAATCGTCCTAAGCAACCATGTAGGATTGATGTAAGAAATATTTCTTGAAGAGTTGCATCCTTAGTCCAAGCATGTTGAGAGTTAAAAAATTGGACTTCTGTTTTGTTCCACGAGTCAAAAGGTTTTAGAAACTAGCCTCGTTAGATATTAGTTTGTGTAACAGGGTATGATGAAGAAAAATGAAATATGAATCCATAATTATAACTTATATAATCATTTATATTAGAAATGGATCCATTGTTTTTTTTTATTTTTTAAAGTAAGGAACATATTAGGAATAAGAAGAGTATAAAAATTGAATTCAACTTTGGCCTTCAGGAAGCCTGACCAATGACTTGATCTTAGTCATTTTAGTGTCTAGAATAAGGTTTAAGAGATTTTAATATAATATGCATTGTCTGCATTCATCATTCTTAAAGTCGGACTCTTAACTCTAAACAAGAGTTGTCCAATAATGAAGTGAATAAATTTTACCATAATATATTAGGAACAAGTTTAAAGAATAAGATATTTGCCTTAGATATACCAAGTACCCGGCTTTTCTCTAATAACTAAGTGAAAAAGAAATAAAAACATAATAAATTTAAGACAACAAATTTTTACCAACTCTTGTAGTTTTTCAAATGTTATGCAAAATTCATGCAATAACTCGCAAAAGGAGAAATATAGGTTCATTAATATTTCTTTATCTTTTTCGCCATTTTTTAAGAAAATTAATATTTGGCATTAATATCTAAATAATCTTTCGATAAAGTATTTTAATTATATTATTATTATAAAATAAATATATATTTTATTATATTACATTTATTAAAGTTATAAGTTCTCAACAACAATGTTGATATCACTTAACACTTTATAAATATTTATAATTTTTTTATTCATCCTCAATATAGTTACAGAATTTTCACTCCTTTTTCTCTTTTCTATTTAGTTTTTTTCTTAAAATTTTTATGTTCTTTATTTATTTTTGAATTTTTTAATTTCTTTCAACAGGTAATTTACCAACTTTTTTCCTTTTTTCTTTTTCTTTTTAAATTTTATTTAATTCTAATTTTTATTTTCTCAAACTTTTTTCTATTTTCCCAAATAATACTTTTTTTTTCAATTTTCCTCTATTCTTTTTCATTTCTCTTTTATCTCCTTTTCTTTGTTTACTTTTATTTCATTTTCAATTAGTTATCTTTTTTTTCATTTTATTTATATTACTTTTAATTTTTTTAAAATTCCTAACATATTAAATTTAAAATTTTGATATTTCCCACTTAAGCTTCTTCAATTTCTTTCAATTTTTTTTTTCTTTCTATAAATTTTTTAAATTTTTTATAAAATATGTGCATAATGAAATAGAAATCGTTTAACCAGTTTCTACCTTATTATAAAGTATATAATAGTTAAAATTAGTTATATAATCAATTAAATCTATTTAAATTAAATTGAAAAAGGATAAACTTAATCAAATAACTTTATAGTGTTCGAATACATCAAAAATTTTATTACAATGATTAATTCAATGCAATATAATTTATTCTATATATAATATATACTCACTAAAATAATATAAAACATATACAAAATATTTACATACAAATATATATATAGCCTCCATGGTAGGTTAACATGATGTAGTTTAAGTATAAACTTTTGATGTCTTCATACATTTGTCTCGGTTTTTTCTCCTTTTTGGTGAGTATATGTCATTAATTTAGGTGTGTTTTTTGTACTAGTAATCTTTTTCTATCTAGTTATTTTCTTTCCTTTTGCTCTCATATTGCTTATTTATTCTTCTTTGTTCAAGTAAGGTGTCTAAAATATAGTTTGAACTCGGAGAAAGCAAGACATGCAATAGGTACAAAGGTAGAGGCGGTTACTTAGAAGCTAATGCTGTAATGACCTGGCTTTAATCCAGAGTTCTGACCATATGCCCACAATGTTATGATAAAATAATTAATACAGATACTTCGCATAGCAAATCTTAAAATAATAAAAGTACATCCTTTACATACTTAGCTCAAAGTATCCAATATTCATGAGACATATCTAAACTCTAAAATAACTATTTAATAAAAATAAAATAATTAACATTAAGTATTTATTCGAATTAAAATAAAAATTAAATGATCTCCGAGCAAATCTCTCACTGTTCAGGAGTGGAATTCTGAATATCCTGATCTTAAAATAATAAATAATAAATAAAGTGAGCTTAATATGCTCAGTAATCGTATAAATATCATAAATAATAAAGTAATCCATTTAAGTTGGTAGAAAATATAAAACTACTGACGAAAAGAGTTTAAAGTATATTTCTTTTTAGTCTAGAAAAACTTGGTATCTACACTTTAACTCATTCACTAAACCTTATAAATCAATTTGCTCAATAAACATCAGGATTCAGTATAAATAGTTTAGTACACATAAGAATTCAGTGTCAAATAAATAGTTCAGTAAATATCAAAATTCAGTATTCCAGTATCACAAGTTTTACACATAAATTTAGATATATTCATACTAGTTTACATCCTTTTAAAAATGGTTTCATCTTATTTAATAATATCAACATTGTTGATTATTTTTATCGCTTCATCTTTTAAGTTTCATCGTGCAAGATCATTTCCATCGGTATCATCGAGGACAGAATGGATCCCCTCTACCACGTGGATAACAACAGATAACATATCCTCATTCCCTGAAGGGTTATATGCACCAGATAACAAATAACAAATTTCCAACCACAACGTCTGGTATAGGACTTCTTAGTTACGTCTGACTGAGGCCATATCCAAGAGTAGGGTTCACCCAGATTACTCGTCAAATTGGCCACACACACACACACTCCTTTTTTATATCGGTTAAGTAGATTTTTTAAGTCTTTTAATAGTTATATATTTATTTCAACTCACTAATAAATTCTCTAATTTTATCATTTAATATTTCTTATACCTATAACATACATACTGTAAATATTGATCATCCTAGCTCTTTTACACATCTTTAATATATTCACAATCATATAGCAACTAGTATATATACGAACTCAGTAACAAAACATAACAGAATAATTCATAAGTAATTTTAGAAATAAATATAAATAAGGACACAACAATTGATAGTAAAATTTCGTTGGAATTTTGTGCCTAATTATCAATTATTAAATTAATTAACTAGAATCACCTACCAAGTACCGTTAATTAATTGCTTAAATAGATCAAACTACATTTGTAGCACAAATGCACTTACCTGATTTCTGTTCATGGATCTACTTTGCAGAAGAGTTCTCGAATGCCAAATACAATCGTGCGTAACCAACAAAAAGACATGTCGTTGCACGCTT